GAGAGAGAGAGAGAGCATCTCTCTTAATAATGGGACTCTTTTTTTGTTCATCTTTTATCTTTAATAAAAGAAAACATTTAGAAGTACACGAAGGACTAACTGTGTTTTTGGTATTTTAAATATAAAAAAAAAAACGCAAAGGCTTAGGGGATTTTTTTTGTTGATTTTTTATTTATAAAAGAAAACAAATAAAAGTATACTAGAGGCTGACTGTGTTTTTGGTATTTTTAATATAAAAGAAAGTACGCGAAGACTCAATTCACACAATGGAATACAAGAAAGAGAAGGGAGAGAGATACACAGGGAAATGAGGGAGAGAGAGAACCGAGCTATTAACTGAAGGGAAGGAGGGAGATGGGAGAGCAGAGAGAGAGAGAGAGAGAGAAGCAACGTATTGACTGAAGGATCTTGAGAAGAAATAGATGATAGAGAATCAAAATAGGATAACCAGCTTCTGGGACTTATGATTCTGATTGATGGGTGTAATTGTGGTGCTCTTCCACAATGATCTCACTTATTAAAAATAAGATTTAGGAAAGTCAGGTTCTTTGAATTAAACGCTCCAAAGATTATGATATCTAAACTAAAAGTTTTCTTAAAAGTTCTCACTTGCGTCATTATGAAAACAAGGTTACATGTAGGCCTTAGAAAGGAATATCAGAAACCTTTACATCACATTACATCAAATAAAAAAAAAGCCGAAAAAAATTCTTTCTTCACATTCTGTAACAAGAAAAATACAAGCAAAAAGAATCTACATTTTAAAAGAAAAAAGCATCTACTTTTTTTCTTTAAATAAAGAAAGACAGAAGGCATACAGCGTATATAACTGCACCCTCCTGTCAAAGATCTACAAAGGAGGCTTTTTTTTTCATATTAAATTCTGGGATACACTTTAGAATAAGTAGGTGAATATTCAAAGAATAATTTAAATTTTGAGTTGTTAAGCAGTTAGATCTGATTGTCCTAAAATTAGAAGATCGATTTGAATCTTAGGATGTATTTTTCCTGGTATTTCAAAAAAAGTTTATTCAAAGTTGGTCAGGTTGAAGACTTACATCCCAAAATTCGTGGTCCTAAGAATACTTCTAATATGGGTTTTGCTCGAGGGAGTGAATTATTAAAATGCTCTTGTGTGGGGCGTGTGAAACCTTTTCTTTCGGTTTTGTTCTATATATATTTTCAAAGGGAATGTATTAAACTGAGGAACCTAACAAAAGTTTGTTTTGATGCTGAAAAGCCCTCCAACTAATTATTCCGACCTCAATATAATTAAAAATGAAAAAGGATTTTAAATTCTTAAAAATTGTATTTTGAAACATATTATTTGGATTTTTCATTTCTGATATTTTTTAATATTGATAGATCTACCACTAGCGGGAGCTTTAAAATTCACAATTAAGGGTGGAAAAGATTTGTGATTGTTGCAGGGCTTTCCGGCACTGGAATTGTATTTTTTGACAGGGTTTAGAGGTGCATTTTGATTTGTTTGATTAAAGTTGATACCTTGCGTAAACTAGACCCATATTTAAAGGAAAAGTATTATATCCGTAAGAGGGTGCATTCTTACATTTGCGTCTTCCGAGGCATAAACTATGCTACAAAGCCGGATGTAAATAAGGACCCCTCAAAGAGAAAAAGAAGAATCGACTGTTTGACTATTTTCTTAAAAAAAATGTTGTTTTTATTTAAAATTATTATTATTATTTACAAATGAATGATCTCCATGTTAGGGATCACGTATTTAATTAGGGTCAAAATTTATTTCAAAGATAGGTTATTAAGAGGGCCACATTTGAGTCCGATGATTCATAGAAATTGTCTCCAATTTAAATATATGATACTTCTACAGGGTGGGATTTCTACGAGTCGGCCTACTCATCTTTACAAGTGCAACCCCTATGCAAAATCCATTTTAAGGATAGATTTTAAATCTAAATCTCATAGTTCAATAGTGATTATAACTCTATTTTAGGGGATTATACGTTGTGAGACCGTCTAACATTATTACAAAGAGAACACCATCATTCCTAGCTGCGAAGTGTAGAATTTAATAGCTTAAGTTGTGTCACAAAATTCGATATTTTTCTTTTTTTAAACTTAGTTAATGCAACGACGCTCATATCCACTCGATTTAAAATCTGAAGGACAAGAATAAGGAAAATTGTTTCATATGCTGTCCAAAAGGTGTAAAGAATCCACCTTAAAGGTGGATGCAAGTAGGTGTTCCATTTAAAAACAATAGAAACTAACTGTCAAAATATTTTTTTACTAGAATTTTCATTTCTAGTTTTTAAAATTTAGTTATTTGTTTATATTCATGATGCCTTTTTGAGAATGATATTCATGATCTCCATGTCATAGACTATATGTCTTTAAAAATTAAGCAAAAAAATCCATCTCAAAAATAGATTTATTAATCGGCCCGCATTATAGGAGGGCTTAGCAGTGCAAAAACCGGGTCCCAAGAATAATAATGACGATCTTGTACTAAATGTAACTGGAACTTTTTGTATACTTATCTTGTCAAAAAAAAAAAACGAAAGTTTATAAAAGGTTGCGACCTTAAAAATTTAGATGCACATAAAAAATCATTGGAATTTTTTTTTTTTAAATGTTGGAAAGCCTTCTAATTGATTATCTCGACATCCATTAGTGTCCAAAAAATAGTGTATTTTGCAACATATTATCTAGATGGTCTATTTTCAAGATTTTTATATGTTTATAGATCTATTTGATTTTTACTATTTTTAAAATTTAAAAATTTATAATTAAATAAAAAAATAAATTTTAAGATAATCCTAAAAAATCTTTTACGCCAAAATTACATGAATTGGAGGTGCGCCTTAATTGTATTGTTTAAGCTTACCGAAACCGCATCCAAAAAGCCAAAAAAAACAAAACCATTCGGCACTTGAGTTTCTTGCACCCTCCATTTCATGTTTTGGCTGGGTGCCCTTCTCTTAACGTCCATCATGAAGATGGACGTTCGATTTGATGGTCTGGGGATGCCTGCGTCTGCGTCCCCTGAGTCATGGCTCGCAGGATACCTGTCCTTCCAAAATGGATTGGGAAGGAAATGGACGATTTGGACTCTCTCTCTCTCTCTCTCTCATCAAATTTGCAACTCTCTCTCTCTCTCTCTCTCCTACCTCTCGTCTCTACGTACGAACGTAACGACACGAGTACGTCGTACGTCGGTACGTAACGTACGGTACGTACGTACTAGTAGTACTACGTACGTAACGGTCTAC